TGAGTCAGGCACCACTGTTCTCACGTGCTCTAATAAACAGGGGTTTGTTGTGGTAATAGCATAGAAAGTGAAGAATTTGAAACCCAAAGAAAATCTAGACACAGCCTACCTCAGTAATGAAATTCCAGCTGAGCACAGCATCAGAAGCAATCAGAACATGTTTCTAAACAACAACCAGCAATCAGTATCTTTCCTTTTGCTCAGATCTGATGGCTGGAGTGTAGTCCCTTCAGTTCCTGCTAAGGATGACACTGTGAGATCCTGGCTTTTACCTGGAAGATCCTCTGATCAAGCATTAATCATATCCAACCTTGCTTATCCTGGGAAATCAGCAAAACCAAAGCAACAACAGAACGTTGCCAGAGGATTTTTCTGTTCAGTTCATTTTCACTGATGTTTAAACTCCCTGAGGAAGGTTTTTGACTTGAGATCTTTAGACAGTTTTGCACCTGAAGATAGAATTTTTTCTCCAATAGCTTGGATGGGCTAAGATGCCTTTTTGGTCTTTTTCATTTGTTTTGGGATTAGGACTCTCCTTTCCATAGATGTTGTTTGTAAAGACAGATTATCTTATTTTTTCCCCTCCAGGAATAAAACAACTTTGTAATCAAAATCCAGCATGACAAAAGCTAAATTTGCTGCTTTTGAAACAGACACATGCTCACAATGAAAAACCAATAAAAACATTGCTTTGTGTTGGTTACATGTTGTTCACAGGGAAACATATCTTAATGGTATCACATAAAAAACACAGAGAATTGATTGCATCCCAAATAAATTAAAGAATTTGCTAGCTTTTGCCTTTGCATTGTTAGCATACAACCTGGGTGTGCTTTAATGAGCTATTTCAAAGTTCTTACCCAGTGCTATATCTATCATTAATATTCTGCTGCAGTAGTTGTACACTAAGCATATTTTTCTCTTGACAGGCTATAAAGAACTCACTCTTCATGCATATTCAGGTAATAATTTTGATGTATTGTCATTTGCATAGAGGCTGGTGGAGTTCTAACCAATTGCTGGACAATCTCAGAGAAGTATTTGTTTTGTATTGCTTTGTCATTCAAAGCAATTAGTGTGCTGGGAGAGGATTTTCAGAAAAAATGGAATCACCTTTTTTTTCCTACTTTTTCCTCAGCTATTTAGATAGTATTTTTTGTTCCTCTTGATGGGAAATTTCTATCATCTATTGAATACCTGCAGTCCCACAGGTCCAAAGCATTCTCAAAGGTTTTAACACAGCTGGTACTGCTTTGTGGTGATCCCAAGGAGCTTCTGGAGCAGGACTTGGTGACAGGGATGGCTGCACAGCCTCATGTGGCCTAAAATTTGCAATTTTCCTGATAAAACACAGTGTTAAGACAACTCTCCCTTCTATTATTTAAACATTAGTAAGACAGTGATTACCAGAGAGAGGTCCTTAAGACAAACACAGATACCTATCTAAAATCCTCTCCCCCAAATGTAACCCAGGCAGTGCAGTTGTGGGTCTGTCCAGCTCCCTGAGACAGCTCCCCCCAGCCTCACTTGTACGTTCCTTTACAAAACCAGCTGGAATTCTTTTGCCTGCATGTAGTACTGAGCTTTTTCCTGAGCTGACTTAATTCTGCAAGAAAGCACTCAGAAGTATTTGTGGAGATGTGGCTTATCTTAACTGTTCCTTCCCCTTCCTGCTTGTCTTTCCTGACAGCACCCATTAAGCTGCAGAACTGTATTCAAGTGTAAACATCCTACTAGCCATGTCAACATTGTATGTTCATGAGTTACTGAGCAGCTCCAAAATCAGTGCAGCAGCACATGGGGAAGTCATTTCACAGCAGACCAGAGCAGAGCTGTGCCTGTAAGCTCCACTAAGCATAACTTCTTCCTACTTAAATATGCTTTGCTGTCATTTATTCAATATTTTCACTCTATCACTGACCATATATTGCATTACTACTGTATTAGACTAACATTCTTCTGTGTCTATTAGATAACATCCTTTTAAATCTAGCAGAGACTTCTACCCATTGATTTTCAATAAATAAAACTCATTCAGTGTATGAAGATCCATATTCTCAGGATTTATAGAGAAACTCCAAGAATGGGATTCAAGCATCCAGTTCCTCATTCTCTGAACTTGCCACAGCATTTCATATGTTATATTATACACACACTTATATCCTCTTTATCAGTTATGAGACTATTTTAGACACTCTTCAATTATCAAGATTAAATTGGGGCATTTTTCCAGCAGCAGGAGCTCGAGCTCAGATACTGTTAGCTAACAAGGAGAGAAGGCAGACAAACCAGCTGTTGCAAGACACTGAACTTTTGCCTTTGATCATCTTTTACTTGATTCAGAGCCAAAAACAATCCTGTAGGTTTAGCAGAGGATAACAAAGTTTAGTGGGTGACAGAGAAGTGGAGAGTAAGCGATGTCAGTCACAGCCCAGTGCCAACCTTCCATTCCTGCAGTAAGAATCCCACCCTTGAAGAACTTAGAGCACTTTTCCAGTCCTCTTTTGGACTGACTATTGGTGTGATGAAAGACTTTTTTTTTTCCCCCTGCCCTTATAGCAAGAGAAACAAGACAGACAAATGGGAGAAAAATACATAAGAAATTTGGGGAATTATTAACATTTTTTGTGTTTCTCAGATTTGCTTTGTAAACTGGTTTATTTACACAGTTTATGTTTCCTACCTTCAGGCTGTTTTGCTTACAAATCTTTGACTGTTCACTTTTCCTGTCTTCATTCTCAAGATGCAGCAGCTTGCAGACTATTCAAACTGTGCCTTCAGGCATGTCACCCCTTACTCCTTATTTCAGCAAATCAGATGGTGTCATTGCCAAACATTTCCCAGAAAAAAAACAATTCTTATCATTTCAAGGAGTTCTGGATGTAATTTTGACTCTTCAAACCACTTAGATTTCCTGTTGTATAGCACAGAACTCTCCCAGTTCTACACTGTGGTCTAATAACTCAGCATTAGAGATAAGTAACAAACACATTCACCTAAGAAACTCTTTGTGGGACAGTAACATTTTCACCCATCAAAATATATATTCTATGGTGACTGTAGGAAATTTAGGAAACAGGAACATTAAAGAAAAATCAGACTATTTTAAGTCACTTATCACTATTTTAAAGGACCTGTCAGGGAAAAGACATTTTCATGTAATGAATCAAAGATTGTATTAACTTAAATTTCTTCAGCTTTTTGTCCTTTGGCTTTTGCTCCTTTCAGACACGAAATTAATACACAGAGTGCAGGAAATATTCTAAAATTCAGAATCTAAACACACAGGCCGTATCTACTCTGGTATCTGTACTTACATGCCCAAGGAATATTTACACAAGTGATGCTACTATGTGTACATAATGCTATTAGCATGGACCATGCAAATGAGTAACAGCCTCTCTGACAAGGCAGATAAAAACCAGATAATGCAACTTAAAACTTCACCACTTTTGGCTTCTTACATTTTAACATAAATCTTCATTTCCTATCAAGGGACTCATTTGGATTGCTAAATATTTAACACTACTATCCCCTTTGTCACTCATCGCCTTGAAAGCACTTCCCACTTCATAAAAAGGCAAGGAAATGATTTCTACTCTGCAAATATAAAAACTGAGGCACAAAAGACTATTTTTTTCAACTCTGCTATTTCAAAGCTCAAACCTCTTCACTAAATTATGCTAGTGTCCCCCAAAATGCAGGGCCAGTTCTTACCCTGCTTTTCCAGGTTATTGGCATGATAAATGAGGAGCCTTGGAAATAGACTGGCTCAGCACTTTAAAACTCTGCATCTTCTTGCACTTTCAAGTGCCTGGCACTCTGAGAAAGGTGTTTCTAAAATTATGTTTGCCCAGGCAAAACCAAGAACAAAAATGCAGTGATTATATTATGCTTAAGGTATCGATTGTTACACAATTACACACTGGATATACTGTAGGAAAAATAATATTAAACAGGAATATTGTAAACACACTGATGTGTCTTACCATTACATGTGTGAAATAAAGACAGGGCTCAATATTTCTGAACTTTTGTCAAAACCCCTTTATCTTATAAAAATCACAAGATCTATTTCAAAGCTTGACTGAAGAGACTTTGGTAAGAATTATTATTAAATAACTTCAATGTGATTAACTAACTTCAATTACCCTCAGTTGTCAGCACAGTGATGTGTTTGCCAGTGTAAAACTATTAAGCAGATAGAGTTAGATTCAGTGTGTGCTTAGATTCATCCACCTAATCAAACACTCCTGCACCCACACACAGATGTTTCTCCTGCCACAATAACATTCTGCAGGAAGGACTTACAATATTGTACCTTCAAAATAATTTTCCTGTTTGAAGCCAGAAAACTGCATCTACCTTCCACTAACCAGAGATACTCAGAAAGCCAGTGAGGACTTATGGAGCTTTTTCCATATGCAGCACCACTGAAAAGCATTTTAATCTTTTTCTTCTTTAGCCTGGCACAGACTTACAGAGGGTAGTTAATTCCTGTTGGCTCCTGCTGTGGTAGCTGTCAGATTTGTCTTATATTGGCCAGCTAGATACCATCTACATTTGTCTCTTCCTGTCCCTGCCATCCATGAGGGATGTCCACCAAGACCTTCCAGATTAGCTTCAGGGATTTGCCATTTTACCAGCATGGCAAAATTAATCCCCCAGCAAGCTTAAGAAAACACAATTCCCTTGTATTTCAGATGCTGGGTTGGACTTCCTTTATCTGATCTGCGATATCCATTCTTCAAATGACTTAATGGCAATGAGTATACACCAGAAATTACTTTCAATAAAGTAATGAAGGATAAAACAAGAACGAGAAACAACTCTGTGTAGGCTCAGCATTAGGGCCAAGTGTGACTTCAAAGTCTATACAGGCTGAAAATGCAACTTCATGGAAACAGCTCAAAGTGTGTTTTGTCTTGCAGTTTTAAAAACATCCTGAAGCTCCTTTGTGTTGAGTCCAGCAGAAGAGGTGCTGCCCCATGGTGATGTGCTCAGCGCAGAGCTGTCAGGTGACTGCTCTGGATGGAAAAGCGAGTCCACGTCAGGATCTGTGTGACTCCAATGCACAGTGGAACCAGACAGATCAGATGGAACATGGCATCGTGGAGACCCAGAAATGACCTGGTGAGACAATGAGAACACAGCCTTCAACAGGGTCAGTTCACACCAAGCACTCGTTAGACACACACCATACACATGTTACTCTGTGCAGTCAGTTCTATGCGAAAGAAACATAAATGTATCAGATATCAGATGTATTTCAACTGTATTTCTTAATTCTACATGCAAATATGTATTTCATGTTGCTTTCTCCTTTCACAATAGCTGGGAGGAAATCAGACAATTAGTACATGAAGAATCAATTTTAATACACACTGTAGGCAACCCAAGACATCCTGTTCACTACTTTAGTGCTCATCTCTATCATGTCATAGAGAAACCAATTTGAGCAGTATCATCCAATTAGGGAGGAGAACATTGGAAAAATCCAGACAAGAAAGCAAAGCAGAAAATGGAAGCAAACATTTTAATATGAAATTATTTTTCAGTTCAAACCTGTGCTAGCTACTCACAGAGTGTTGCTTTGGTTGCTGAGTGCTAGATGGAAGTAATGATCAGTGCACAAAATTCAGGTGTGGTCTAAAGGGCTGCCTGAAATACCAAGGCTCATTTTGTTTGGTTTTAAAACAAATGATTACCAGATAATATAAGCCATAAAAAGGATACATGTGAAATTAACACTCGGTTTTCATTTATTCTAATGGATTCATGGCATTGCCTCATCCAAATCTTCTCTAATGAATAAGAAATTAAAGCACCAAGAAATATGAATCAAAAAAGAAAACACAGGCATTAAATGTGCTCCCTTTTATGAACAGTATGGTTTCTGACAGCTCAAAGCTTGCATTTCTGCATTCATCTAGTAGCTGGAATCATTATCTACTGGCATTCTGTTAATTATTGGATTCTAATTACTTAAATATCCGGAAAGTCAACTCAAGCTGAGAAACAGCCCCTAAATGAACCTGCTCTCCATGAGGCAGTTTATGCTACTTTCTAATTTTTTCCTTAGCATTCAGGGATGAGATGGGAGACTCACAGAACATCTCTGGACATGATCCAAAAAAACCTGAAATCTGTGAAGAAAAAAAGCCAACCCCACACAAGCTTTTGAATAAAACCTAAGAGTTGCTCAGAATCAGAAAAGAATCAACTCATGTCTCACTCCATTTAACAGAAAAAATGCTTGTAACTTCCAACACAGCCCAGATTTATTCCTTAGCACATACACATGCTCATAAACAATCACAATTTATCTCCAGTCATGTACATGCTAATGCTGCATCAGAAAACAAAAAACCACAGGCTCACAAGTGAATTACTTAATCACTTGGGCAATTGCATTTCAGCCTGGAGTGCTCTCTAGCAGGCCACTGGTCCAGAGCCAGTGCTTATTGGCAGTGACCATAATTCACCATTTGGACGTTGGTTACTGGCCTGGATTCAATTGCCTTTCCAGTGCACCTACAAGGAAACAAGGGCCCATGTCACTGTCACAACTGCACCACTGACTGCAGCAGCAAAGCTACAGACACATTTCTTACCTACCTAACGATGACAACAGGACTAAGACTTAGTCAACAGGATGTTGGGGCTTGTATTTGGCCTGTTCTGCACACTAAAATTATTCCACCTTTACACACAGACTCCAGGAAGGACAAAATAAGAAAGAACATCTGCAAAATCACTCACACTAGTGCAATCCTGACTTGGTTTCACTGGAACAGTATTGATTTAAGAAAATAATATTACCTATTGTACTGTAAAACCTTAAGTTACTGTAGGAATTATGAAAAATATCTACAGTACACAGAACAAGGAATGGGAAAATATTTCATCAGGGAACTGTGATAAATCAAGACAAAAGCTCAGATCTCATCATAACAACAGCTCAACAAGTGACTGCAGGAATTTCCATGTCTACCTTTTCTGCACATGCAGGAATGAAACATAAGATGTTTCACTGAACAGCCCTAACATCACTCTGAATAGAATGTCATCTAGTCCAGTAATTCAATGTGAAAGCATTAACAGTTTCAAGTGCCTTCAATAGATAATGAAGAGTTGCTGCCAAACAACTGCATTCTGAAGAAAGAATTTGAACAGCACTTCAAGAGAAGTTGGTGGCAGTTGCAGAGGTTCTCCAGGAGAGGGAGGTTTTAAACTAGAGATCTCTTCCATGGCAAAAAACAAGCCAAGCCAAACAAAAAACTCGAAGAAAAACCAGCCCCGAAGCCATATAGAGCAGGTAATGCTTTGCTGTGATGATGGAACAAAGGAAAAATCCACAAACCAGGACCACTCTATCTGCAACCTATTGCTCGAATTTTACAGCTATTAAAAAATAGTTTCTTAACTACTTTCCACTACAAAGTGTTAACTGCTGTGTAGTGACCACATTTCCTAAGGATGTGGTGTAATGTGTGAGCAGAGGGGAAGGATCACCTTTGACCTTCTGGCAATACTTTGTCTAAGGTAGCCCAAACTACCAAACTTCTCCAGCCTGTGGAGATCCCTCTGGATGGCAGTGTGACCCTCTGAGCCACACCTCCCAGTTTTGTGTCATCACCAAACTTCCTGAGGGCACATCCTGCCCCATCATCCTGATCATTAACAAAGATGTTACACAGGACTGGACCCAATACAGACCCCTAAGGCACACTATTAGTTATTGGCCTCCAACCAGACTTCATGGCACTGATCACCACCCTCTGGGCCACTCAGTTTACAACTCATCTCACTGTCTGCTCATCCAGTCCACAGTTCAACAGCTTGTCTGTGAGGACCTTACAGGAGATGGTGTCCAAGGCCTTACTGCAGCCCAGGGAGACAATATCCACTGCTTCCCCTTGTCTACCAGGTTGGTCAGTTAATTGTAGAAAATTATCAAGGTGGCCAACCATGACTTCCCCTTGGTGAAGCCATGCTGACTACTACTGAAGACTTTATTGTCCTTACTGTGCTTGGAAGTGGTTTCCAGGATTAGCTGCTCCATCCTTGTTGCTATGGTTTAGCTTTCAGTTCAATAAAAAAAATAAATAATTTAGAAGGCAGCAAATAGTTTATGGGTTTAGATTGCAACTTCTCTCTTCTCCCAGGAAACAATATTGCTGGAATTCTTATTTATTCAGGGCCCAAACATTTTGTTAATGCAGAAAAAGGGCCCTCTGTGCTATCTTTCTTCACAGTTCACTGCCACTACACCTAATAAAGCAAATGCTTTCCCAAACACTTAATAGATATTGCCAGCTCTGGAGGAGGAGGAAGGACACAGCTGAGATTGTGCTGGCATGGGCCACAATACTTCATTATGTATAATTCACATGTGTGAAGTTGTTGGGATTTTTTTAAACAGTTTGAGCCCATTTTAAACAATCTCCTGTATTCAGTTTCTGTTTGTCCTCAAACAACTTTGTCCTGGGGTAAGGCTCTCTTAGCTGTCTGCCTGTGGCTGAAATCTGAAATCAGCCTGTAGGTTTTAAAATATATATAGGTAATTTTAACACAGTCAATGGTCTGAGTACACTGCCATGGGCAAACTGACTCCTAGGAACAACTGTGAGTGGTCTGATCTTTGTGGGCTGTGTGTCCATGCTGAACTCCATTTGCAAAGCAAAGGACATGCCCATTCACACATACCTGTACAGAAAACACAGGCAGGCTGCTTCATGTGCAGGAAATTATTTTGGAAGAGATGGGTAACTAATCTTGTACCTTTATGCTGTTCCTTTCCTTAGTGAAATAAATCAAATTTCAGCATGACTCAAGGGAAAATACAGGGTTTAGAGCTCAAGCATTCGAAGTATTTCAACTCTATATACAATAAATTTATTGTTGCTATAGTCCAGGGGCTACTTACTGGGAAAAAAAAAAAAGATTTATAACTACTGTGATTTAAAATCCAGCCACAAAGGGATCATTTCTCTGATTGAAAGGGACCAGGACTGCAGTTTTATGTTTCAAATCCAAATTTCTGTGATTCATCAAGATGAGTGTATTCAGCCCTCTCATATCCACATCCAGTTCAACCTCCTACTCCTGTGCAAAAGCCACTCATCTTATTTGACATTATAATGAGGAAATAATCTTCTTATCACCTCACTGGCTATCTACAGAATGCATTAAAATAAAAGTAGCTGTTCTCACACACAGCCTCACACTCGAGCTGCCTTTGCTTGTGTCAGGATGCTTTTCTGAAGACCACCTGTTGTTCTTTCATGTCATGCTTGTCCTCACACATTTTCTTAGAAAATTCCTCAAATATGGGACACTCTCCCACCCCTAGGTGATGCACAAACCTTTCTCCTTCAAGAGCTCTCTCCACAAAAGTTCATATACAATTGTCTTCTATGTATTTTTTAAGGTTTTTACTCAAAATCCAGGAGAGCGATGTAGTTCTCAGGAGATTCATGTTGTTCTCTCAAGTAAATCCTAATCAAGACTAGTTTTTACCTTTTTGTCCTGACTTCAGTTATTCCTCATGTTGGTACTTCCTCTTGATGGTCATAAATAAACAGCCTATGACCCTGAATGTACTGATTCCCTGTTCATTTATTTTTTAAAAGCCCACATATGTTCAACAGGCTAACCAGCCACCACAGCTTTCTGCTGTGCTTTCAGGTCTCCAGGGACTGCAATGAAATCATTAGCATTAAAATGGCAAGTAGCATTGAAGCCAAAATTATACACTCCTACTTGAGGCAAATTCCCTCCCTCCAGTGATTAAATTCCTTTCTCTCACACTGAAGTGTGAGCCCTACTGGGATTATATGTTTATGGAAGTAGGTTTATGAGACAAACAAAATGCAGGAGCCAGGACAACCTGGATCTTCGTAACAAGTATTAGGGGATCTCAAACATTTTTTTTTTCTTTGTGACAAAACAGGGGAAATAAAACATTTCAACTACTGAAATGTATCCTTTGCTTTTCAAAATTAGATATCCTCATGTGTATTGTTCACTTCTAAGACTTACAGTATCCCTTTGGACCCCACCTTGGATCAGGTTGACCCACTGCATTATTCAAGTCCTCATATCCAAATTGATTCAGGATTGTAACCACAAGCATCGGAGCCAAGGATTGGGCAGGTTTGGTAAATAAAGCATTGGTCCCAAAAACCATAGAGGAAAGTGGTGACCTAAAATATTTAGGGGAAAAAAACTCAAATTAATGTACAACACAAAGTTATTAGTGTAATACTTACAACAGTGATTTTCAAAATCCTGTTAATGTGCGAATGCTAAATATCATGATCCTGAGCTTTGTGCAGTTCACACATTACAGGAAACAGAGCAGCTCTCCTAATGAAATTTAAATTAGGAAATGAAAGGTAATAAACCTTTGGGGTATATATAGACAGTTTGGCCCCAGTGCACTAAAGTTCAACTTTGGGCTCATTGAGTGATTACTGAAGTTAAGTTAGAATGAACAGTGCATGGAGTATTAATTAGAACTTAACGATTTTATATGCATGAGGTCAGAGAAGGAATTTTTTTCCTCATCAAAGTAACAGCTCTCACCTTTGAGGGGCAAGTTCTTTAACACAGGGACCAGGACTGAATCTGCACCAACATCAACACTGACTGAACAAACAGGAAGCTATGTGCACTTTGATAACAATCCAGAAGATCCCTGAGTTGCAATATGCTATCCCACGCTAGGTTTTATCAATTTTATTTCAGGGAGATAATAGCAACCAGTTAGACTTTGAAATTTGTCCTTTGGGTTCCATAGGCAAAGCTTTCTAAAGACCTTTGCCATCTTCAGAGGGCCTTCAGAAAATTCCGTGAGTGACAATAGATGTGTAGAGTTATAAAATAATTAAATTGAAGCTCACAAAAATAAAACCACAAGACTTAGTTTATATTATGATATAATATAAAGTAGTAGTGACCTCATAATCTGTTTGAATTACGGAGGTAACTGCAGGAAATTTTACTCAAGTTCTTATATTTACTTATGCTAAGTTGGTCTTACAAAAAGAACTTCTATATGAAGGATCTCAAATCATTTCCTGTCTTTGATTTGACATAAGTTAACTTATGAAAGAGTAACAAGGCAAACAGCATATTTAAAACAAACAGTTATGCCTGACTTACCTCCTTTTGTGCTTTATTAAATCTGCATCAACAATATCTGCCAAAGGCAAATTGAACAAACTAAATGAAGCTTGTACAATCACCCTACAGAAAAACAAAATATTTGAGATGTACACAGCTCCTATATTCACTTTCATAATGACACTGTAAGTAACATTCTAACACACAGACCCAAACACTGACATTTCTGCAAACATGCCAAGCTCAGACTTTCCTTAAAACATGGTGATTTACCTGTTTAAACAGGTGAAAACATTATTAGATCTATTCTTAGCTGAGAATTGGAAATCAATATGTAAACCTAAAAGGTGAGGTGGGGTTTCTGCCTCTTGTCCTGGACACTGGTCACGAATAGTTGCTTGACATTATCAGTAAATGACATTTGAAATGTCTAGGAGAAACGAAATATCTTAGAAAATTTGCTCTGGAAATCAGAAAAAGATATTTTACTAGGACTACATGGAAGACAAACTTCAAGGTGGGAGAATTAGAATAGTAAGAATATTTTATATGCATTCCTGTATTTGTATTTACTACATATATATGCATTTCAACACACACATAAAAAGTTCTTAACAAATTGGCAAATGAAACAACAAACTCAACTATTACAATTTCTATGTCTTCTTAAATTTTGGGTGTGATGAGCTTTTACTAACCAGAGGCTTTGAACAATTAGCACTTGAAACAGACAGTCTTTAAGTACCTTAGAATTTTTTTCCTGGGAAAATCAAAATACATCTTCATCATTTAAAACATGCAGACAAGGAAATTCAATTTACTGTTCACAGGATTCAGTGTTACATAGCCCAAGACTGCAGTACTGAAAATCAGAATGAAAACAGGGGAGGAAAAAAATAAAGATGAAGAAAGGGAGGGCAGGAAAGAGCATGTAGAAAATCAGCAGTGAAACAGCAAATGAAGAAATAAAGCCACACTGCTCTAACAATATTCTGATACAAACAGCTGTTAGTTTTAAATAAGGCTTTCCATGTATCATCATCTACTGTGAAAGTACTACTACTTGGCATTGCAGTGCTGAGTGCCAGGGAAAATGTGACTCAGGAGGTCACACCACTTCACCTCACAGACACCTGAGTTATCTGTTTGTTTGCAGTGAGACACACAAGTGTTCATGCAGTTCACAACGAGGTCTGAGCTTTCCTGGCAGTCTGCTGAGATCTTCTGTGTCTATGTGGCTGACAAGAGATTCTGCTACTGTTGAATCTCATGTTAAAGTGGCTGCAAATTTAAATACAGTTCCTATTTAAGGCTTTTTTTTTTTTTAAGCAGAAATTAAAAGCTGAAGCAGAATAAAAATGAAAGCTGAAAAAAGTTATAAGTGGAGTTTCAGCTTTTCTGATGAGCAAAACAGAACAGAAAGAAAACCATAAAAGCAGTGGGAAAATCTTCATGGTATAAAAAAGCAAGTGCTCACTCTGTTACAACTCTTCAAGCTGTAGCTATGAACAGGGGAGTGCATTTACTTACATATTTGTTGTGAGATAAAAAGCCAAGAGATAATAGTGTTCTTGCCCAAGAATAAACATGACAGCTGCAGCTACTCCTTCATAGTAAAAGGAAAACAAGATGATTCTGTAATAACCAAACTTCTTCAACCAAGCATGACTGAGAAGAACAAGGCACTGAAAAGATAATATATACACACACATGATGAAAAGATACAGCACAGTGTCTCAAGCATTAGGAGAGCTATAAAACACAGACCAGGCATAAATTACTACTACCCATTAAAGACTAAAAACCCAACCAATTACCCTAAGAAGTTCAACCCAAATGAAAAAAATGGAAATTGAATAAAGGGAACTGTCTAGTGGCTCATTCTATGCTACCTCCACCAGGTACACACAACAACTTGCCAGCTGAGCACTGCTCTATCCTGAGGAAAACACTGTTTTCCACACTGCATGTTATTTAATGCTCCTGATCTTTACTCTTGACATCCCTGAAATAAGTAACCTGGCAGTAAGTTAACTGTGCATCAAGCATCTTACCATGGGAGTTTGAACTGCTGGTAAGAAATATTGTCAATAATTATTTTTTCATTATTACTATTTTCACTGATATTTACAGAAATCAAGCATGACTGAAGCTGACAAAGCAAGCTCACCAAGACAGCTTTACCTAAGCAAGGTAGAGGCTTTCCTAGCAAGCAGAGCAAGGCAGGTGCCAGTGGACAGTGTGTGTGGCTGAATTTTACTTTAGCCAATCTTAGCAAGCAGCAGATTCTGAGAATCCAGTGACAATCCAGGCAAACTCATGAAAATGGTATTCAGGGTTTATTATAGCATGAACAAAATGTAAGTTCTTCCATATTGTTCCTCCCTTTCTGCTTTAAATAGGACATTTTGTAATGAGTTATGTTCTTTTCATTATATGAGCTAATGTAACCATCTGTATATACATGGTCCTCATCACTCTCACAAAAACACAAACCCTACAAAGACACACATTTTCTCCTTTCTTCTGTGTTACAGAGATGAACTGTGTAATATTCAGATGAAGGACAGGAAAGAATTCTCCTTGTACACTTGTTCCCACACTGACATGCTTTAACATAACAAATAAAACCATGATGCTACGGTCAGACAAAGATCACCATGGCAAATGCTATTGTAAAAGAGCTCAAGATTTCTACTTCAACTCATGATCAGGGAGATAAAACTAACCTGGAAAGTTGGTATAAGGACAAAATCTT